ATGCCCATACGAGCGTTTCGAGTCACGAACGATTCGACAGGTTGGCCATGGAAGAGAGCTTTGTGGCAACAGACATGGTGATAGCCAAAGGACTTCCATGGAGCCACTCACCCCAGGGCATCATGATGAAGCATGGAGGTCAAGCTCAACGATACAGACAGCCGACCTTGGAGATGGAAGCCACAGAGGAAGAAATGAGGGCTGTCACTGAGGCAGTCGCAGCAGGAGTCGTCACTCCAGCGCCTGGATCCAAGGCTCAACCCACTACTCCAGGTATGCCCAGCCACCTGCGCCGACCTCGACAACACCCAGGACAAAGAGGACAGGTGAGCATGAGGAGGAAGAAGGTCCAGAAACAAAGAAGGTGGATAAGGAGACATCACCCCGGCGAGCTCATGATAAACGTGAAATTGAAGGTGATGAGGAGGAGATCGAGAAGAAGCAGAAGACGGAAGAAGGTGAGACTGCAAGTCTACCATCGGGGATCGTGAGAGAAAGGGAAACAGATGGACATGAGGGACCAGCTACATCCTCACCAAGCAAGATCGCGAGGCTGTATCCACCTCAGTATGCTGGAGTGCAGTCCATTGAAGCCCATGGAGACGAAGAGATGGGAGATGAATGGATTCCTGCAGACCTCACCGAGGAGCTACTATACACTAGAGAGGAAGCAGACGAACCGCCCATCACCAGTGATGAACATTTGATGGTGATGGACAAGGAGGCAAGACAGAACGAGGTGAGCCGACTCAAGAAGATTCCAGTGATGGAGGAGGCAAGTGAAGATGATGTCAACAGTTCAGGAGGATACATTATCTCAACAAAGTTTGTGGTCTGCTGGAAGCACCGAGTGGAGCAAGGAGGATGGTTTAGAAGAGCCAGATTGGTGGCGCGACAGTTCAAAAACAGCGTGGACTTAGAACAAACGTTCGCGCTCACATCGATGCTTGTGGTACCAAAACTCCTCATCCACTTGATGCTGAATGTCTTCAAGGAGTTCACAGCAATGACCCTTGACATCAAGGATGCCTTCCTCATGGCTGAACAGCCAAAAGAAGAAAGAGCTTTCGTCGAGCTTGACGGCAAGATCTATCGGCTGATCAGATGCTTACCAGGCCAAAGAACAGCGGCTTCACAATGGTTCAATTTGTGTGCCGACACGGCAAAGGCCTGTGGACTCAGCCAGAACATCATGCAGCCCACACTGCTCATGAAACACCGGGAGATTTACATCACGGTGCACGTAGACGACGTGTTCATGGTGGGCAGAGAAGGAGCGCTGAGGGACTTCGTCAACTTCTTGCAGGAGAAGATGAAGTGGAATGTGGAAGCAAAGGGACCATTCCGCATGGGAGAAAGGTTCCACTACCTGAAGCGCGAGTTCAAGCTGCTGGAGGAACAGTGTGACATTAGGTGCGATTACAAGCAGTACGAGAGCATCTCAAAAGACGTTGATGTCTTCAAGAAGGCCTACAGAAAGACACCCCTGGAGCAGAACACCAAGAAGGATACAAGCGAAGAGCTCCAAGGTGCAGATATTATGAAGTTCAGGAGCGTGGTTGGAAGACTTATGTATATGGCTGGTGAGAGGCCTGATGCCCAGTTCGCAATCCAGAGTTTGGCACGGTACATGGCAAAGCCAACTCAACAAGCCTGGAAAACGGCATGGCGCGTGTGCTCATACCTCCAAGGCACAGAAGGCTTTGAAAGTCCGGCTCAGTGCAAGAGCAAAAGGACAATCCGTCATGGACACCCGAGAGATGGATGAGGTGGAGGACAAGCAGACGCACCTGCTGGAGATTGTGAGGGCAACAAGAATGACAGGAAGAGCGCCACGTCCTTTCGGGTGTTTTTGGATGGTAACCTGATGGAATCTCGAGTCCGAAGCCAAAAGAGCATCTCACTGTCATCCGGAGAATCTGAGTTTGTGGCGATGGTAGGTGGCTGCTCAGATGGATTGTTGGTCCGCCACCTATGGATGGAGATGACCAAGGACGAGCTTGAGATGAAGGTGAGATCTGATAGCTCTGCGGCGCGAGCCATGGTACAACGGCAGGGAATTGGCCGTGTGAGGCATTTAGATGCCGCCCTCCTTTGGATCCAACAGAAGAGAAGGAGAAAGAGAAGACCTTGGCGGTGAGCCCCATCCCAACAGAGCTCAACTGCGCAGACGTTGGAACGAAGTCATTGACGAGAAGAAGACTCTTCGGGCTACTCTACATGCTGAAGATGGTGAACAGCTCAGGAGACAGGATTGGGACAGAAGAGTTCCAGGAGCTGGAACACAGAGAGCAGATGAAGAAAGGCCTAAAGAAGGTCATGAAAGGAAAGAAGGACCTGCACATCGGGCTACTGATGATGATGGCCAACATGGAGGCTGCAGCAGGTTCAAGAACAAATGGAAAAGAAGATGAGCCAGAGAACGAGTGGGGCTGGTGGGCATTTTGCTTGCTGGCATTGATAGGGGCCTTGAGCTTGGCACAGTGGCTGCGGCAGGGCGTGATGCAAGATGCAATGAGGAAAGGATGGAACTTCACGACTGAGCTCATCAAGACGACGATTATGAAGATTGTGAACTACAAGAAGGATGGAAGAAGTGGAGTGAAAGAAAAGAGCACTCAAGCTACAGAGTGGCTGGAAGCTGAAGTGATCCAGATCTACAAGAAGAAAGCAGACGAGCTGCAAGCTGAGGTGAATCGATTGGAGAACTATGTGATTGAACTTGAAGAGCAATCAAAGGACCTCAGGCAGCAAAAGAACGACATTTTTAGGCAGTTTCAACTTACTGACCAGCATGGTCAAAGGATGATGCAAGAACGCCTAAGGTACAGAACAACAAAGGGCGGAAGCATCAGAATCCATTTCAATCCAGTCTGCCCGCATTTTGAGGCACTGGATCACACACCACTGTGCGCCAAATGTGTGAATGGAGGGAGCGTGATTGAACATGTAGAAAGGTAAGGAGAAGGCATCCATTCACACAAAGGTGACACATGTGAACCGCAAATGTATAGGCCCGAGTTTACTCGAAAAGGTCCGCATTCCGCTTTTCACATTCATGTTTGAGGGGGTGCTTTTCATGATCTGGCGATGGTCAGGTCCACCCTGCTCGAGCAATCGGACAAGGCCGAGCAATCGAGCTCGGAGAGCTCCGGTGTTGGGATGCATTGGGCGACCTTTGCCCATTGGGCGACACTGGATGGACGAACAGGGACCAAAGACGCATCAAGACCTAATATGGCTCATTCTCAAAGAGTATACCATGGCACAGAACAACACATAAGGACTCTTGACGTGTCGCTTTTGGTGCGCCAGGCATCGCCCGTGAAGGCGTAGTTCCCGCGCCAGGCGCTGGCGACTGGTGAAGCGACTCATGAAGTTCCTGACCAGAAGCGTTGTTTCGGCCACCAGGCGACGGGAGGTTGGTCGAGATATGAGTCTGACGATGTACAGTAGTTGTTTTTTGGCAAACACTTAATTCAAACGCCCCCCCCGCGGGCCTGCGTTTGGTGTACTCGATTCTGATCCAGTGCTTGGTTGAAATTCGATGCAGAAAAGGGTCCCGCAGGGTTTTTCGCTATGTTGAGCGGATGGAGTGCAGCTTCCCAATGTCACGAGAGCGGATGGGTTAACTAGCAGCGCCCAACTTCACAGGTGCTTCCTGGTGACAACAGGTGCCCAGGTTCACCACCTGTTAGGGTCTCCAAACAGCCTGTTGGAGGGTCCTGGTCGCTGATAATGTTCTTTTTAGCACGGGGAGGGAGGTCAGAGGGAGGGACGGCGCCCGGCCTCGGCGTGTCCAGCAGAGAGTGCTCCCGGATCGGAGAACCCGAAGACCTGAAAACTGCCCACAAGTAAAGAGGGACGACCGTGAAGGTGCGCCGAAGCACAGGTGTTGGTCTCTCTTTTTTTGAAAACACTGTAGCCGACTGGTCCAATCCTTGAGCCGACTGGAGGAGATTTCGAAATAGAGTTAGAATTCTTAGGCCAAAAAATCATCACAACCTCCATATACACTGCCGTGCGGCGCACTCTCTACCTCTTCAGGTCATGTCAAGTAGCACAGCTGAAGCTTACCCTCTGAAGGACACGTTCTTTGCCACGTGGCGAGGCACGAGGTGCGTGCAGACCACACAGACACAGTGGTCCGTGGCGTTGGCTTCGCGACGAAGCGACATGCGCCAAATCGCAATGGCAAGAAGGGCCCTATTGCCTATGATCCAATAGTAAGAACAAGGCCTGCAACTGAGCCATCATCATCCACTGCGGCCAGGTCATAGGATAGACCAAACCTATTATCATTTGCAATAGTAAGAACGGTTTTCTTTTTGCAGGTGCGATTGGATGGCTTGACGGATTGCTGGGTCTCTTACTTTGCATGAAGATAGACTCACCCAGTTTGGCAGTCGGCGAAGTCAATCAGCAATGTTTCCTTTTCCTGTTTTTTGGCCTTTGGTTTTTATTCTTCAGGGCATGGTGATTGCATGCCGAAGTACTTTCACCTGAGGCGCTTGTTCACTATTTCCGTGCACAGACTTTGGCTAGTTTCGTTAAACCCCTGCTGGCCTCAAGTGAAAGATCAGGCAATTTGGGCATTCTCCCTTCTGCATCAGACATGGTGATGGCGGACAGTCATTTCCACAGACTTTCAAGTTGGCGATGCGCAATGCAGCCTTGAAGGGCTCATGTAAATTTCACAGCCTTCAGCCAAGAAGCGTTTTCGAATGAACTGTGTCGCGCAAACAACAAAAACCTGCAAAACATATTTCTGGTTCTTTGCAATTCAAGAGTTCAGAAGCTGGACATTTGAGAGGCCAAAACAAGCAACTGCACAGACTGACAGAGACACTGGTCCTGGTCACCAGATCGGACGTCCTCTCTGACTCCACCCACGGAACCCCCGTCACCAGATGGAAGGACTCTGAAACCGACCTTGTTCCCCAAACGGGACGGATGAGGAACAGTGGACTGACGGGACACTTTGGGGCGCAGTCATCAGGGGAGCTTTTTCGGGGTGCTTCTTTCTTCGTGGAACCGGCGCGGGTCGCCATGACCAAGAGCAGTGCCAGACTGAAACATGCAGGACGCCACCCCGCCGACTAAGCCGGAACGGCCTTCTGCCTGCTTCGCGCCACCGAGCTGCCGTTCGCGGTGGTTTGGGGGGGGGTTCCCCTCGGTCGGCGTGATCTTCCCACCAACCTTGGGCTGAAAAAAAGGACCTCTTCCACGACAATGGTGATTCGTGTAGGTGATGTGGTCTTTTTTCGTGACCACAGCTTGCTGCATGCGAAGCGGCTGCTTCATCTCTCCAGCTCACCGAAACCAATAGAGGTTGAGAGACCTTGTAGTACCCTGTCGTGGACATATGGGCTATAGATGGCTATAGGCTATAGGGCTGTTCAACCTCTCTTGGTTCTAGTGGAATCCTCACATTTACTCAACACGTGTGAGGCACCTGCGTCTCGCATGGGCGAAACACGAAAAAGGCAGATCAAAAGAGCTGGACTGGGGACGGTCCCTAAAAGCATGCCCGAACCCATGACTTTCGGCCCAATGAACAAATGGGCAAGCCCAATACAAATGAATAGTTGCCCTGGTTCACTGGAAACTAACAAGACCCAATCTTTGGGAGAGCAGGTGCACTCGAAAGAAGGCCGAAACAACACATTAACCATCATACAACATACGTGCATTCTTTTTTTCTTTCTCTCTCTCTCTCTCAGACTCTCTCAGACTCTCCTTTTTTTCCGTGAACATTTCAAGCAAGTGGTCTGAAACTTAGTCAACATGCAAATCTTGATTGAGGGAAGAGAGTAGTAGGAAAAGGACTCGGACTGAATTCTATTTGGCCTCCACAATAACGGACGGGTTTTGGATGATAGGAGAAAGTTGAACGAAGGAGGGAGTTCAACCAATGGACCAAGGATGACACAAGGAACAGGAGAAGTGTGTGTGTGTGTTTCTTTTTATTCTTCTTAGTTTTAAGGACAAAGGGGTTGAATAAATGAGACATGTTGCAAAGGAGGACAGCCTTTTAAGAGGGTAGAGGCCCACAAAGAAGAACCTGGATCCTTTAAACCTTTTGAAGACTGTAGCAACTTACAGATGTTTAAGATGAAGAATTCTGAAGAATGCATGTTTGCCGAGGGGCGCATTTTGTGCACTCCTGCACTGCACGCAACAATCATAGAAGATTTCGAGAAGGAAGACTTTGGAAGTGAGTATGTAAACAATACCGAGGATGAGAACCTTCAAACAAGCATGGGTCACATCAACTTGAGCTCCTACAAACCAAAGTTTACTCCACCTGTAAAGGAGGGTGTCCTTTTTCTGATTCTCGGATGCCTGCCCAGCATCAACCGCTGCCTGCCGAAGGACCTGCTGAAAAACCTGCGCCGGACAAAGTGGCACTCTCCCTCGCAGACAGGAGAGTTGGAACGATCTGCACGAGAGTTTGTGGGGGGAACGATAACTACGAATAACTACGCATACGAGAGCGTTTGGACTGTTCAATTTATAAAGTCAACTAAGTGACTAAGGAGTATTTGGGTGTGTATTTTAAATCCAGGAGACACCCCGTGGCCCGGGCTGTTTTTTTTTTTTCCCCAAACAGTTTACTGTTGGGGGTTCTCAATGCTTTAAAGAATGGTCGCCTTGGTGCTGGATGGTCTGGTCGGGTTCCCGGCCGGCTTGTCTCCCACTTCCTTTCATTTGTCTCCCAGTTCTTTTCATTTGTCTCCCAGGCTGGGTGCTTGTGGTCGGGTTCCCGGCTGGCTTGTCTCCCACTTCCTTTCATTTGTCTCCCACTTCTTTTCAATTGTCTCCCAGTTCTTTTCACTTGTCTCCCAGGCTGGGTGCTTGTGGTCGGGTTCCCGGCTGGCTTGTCTCCCACTTCCTTTCATTTGTCTCCCAGTTCTTTTCATTTGTCTCCCAGGCCACTTCCTTTCATTTGTCTCCAACTTCTTTTCATTGTCTCCCAGGCTGGTGCTTGTGGTCGGGTTCCCGGCCGGCTTGTCTCCCACTTCCTTTCATTTGTCTCCCACTTCTTTTCATTTGTCTCCCAGGCTGGGTGGTCGGGTTCCCGGCCGGCTTGTCTCCCACTTCCTTTCATTTGTTTCCCACTTCTTTTCTGCTTGTGGTCGGGTTCCCGGCCGCGTTGTCTCCCACTTCCTCTTATTTGTCTCCCACTTCTTTTCATTTGTCTCCCAGGCTGGGTGCTTGTGGTCGGGTTCCCGGCCGGCTTGTCTCCCACTTGCTTTCATTTGTCTCCCGGTTCTTTTCATTTTTTGTCGGGTTCCCGGCCGGCTTGTCTCCCACTTCCTTGAATGTGTCTCCCACTTCTTTTCATTTGTCTCTCAGGCTGGGTGCTTGTGGTCCGGTTCCCGGCTGGCTTGTCTCCCACTTCCTTGCATTTCTCCCATTTCCTTTTATTTGTCTCCCGCTTCTTTTCATTTGTCTCCCAGGCTGGGTGCTTGTAGCCCGGTTTCCGGGCGGCTTGTCTCCCACTTCCTTGCATTTGTCTTCCACTTTTTCCCCAAACAGTTTACTGTTAGGGGTTCTCAATTCTTTCTTAAGACGTGTCCGCCCTTTGTGTCACTGCTGGTGTCCGCCCATTTCCACTGGCCATGTAACATTTCTATTCATCCGTCTCCCAGGTCTGTCACTGTTGGTGCCCGCCCTTTTCCGCTGGCCATGCAGCATTTCTATTCATGTGTCTCCCAGGTCTGTCACTGATGGTGTCCGCCCATTTCCGCTGGTCGCGTAGCATTTCTTTTCATTTGTCTCCCAGGTCTGTCACTGCTGGCGATGCAACATTTCTATTCATTTGTCTCCCAGGTCTGTCACTTGCGGTGTCCACCCTTTTCCGCTGGGGATGCAACATTTCTATTCATTTGTTTCCCAAGTCTGTCACTGCTAATGTCCGCCCTTTTCTGTTGGCCATGCAGCATTTCTGTTCATTTGTCTCCCAGGCCTATCACTGTCTATCACTGGTGGTGTCCGCCCTTTTCTGCTGGCCATGTAGCATTTCTATTCATTTGTCTGCTGTCACTGCTGGTGTCCGCCCCTTTCTCCTGGCCATGTAGCATTTCCATTCATTTGTCTCCCAGGTCTGTCACTGCTGGCGTCCGCCCCTTTCTGCTGGTCATGTAGCATTTCTATTCGTTTGTCTCCCAGCCTGCACTGCTTGGTCATGTAGCATTTCTGTTCATCCGCTCTTTGCCGCTGGCCATGTAGCATTTCTATTCTTTTGTCTCCCAGGTCTGTCGCTGGTGTGTCCTTGTCTATTGGCCA